AACTTCATTGCTGCCTATCTGAAAAATCAGTTTCCAGTGAGGAAACATGCTTTTTGTTAGTGTGGGAAGAGGGTTTTTTCCTTCCTGTTTGGTTAACAGAGTACTTCTCTGGAATTTTGTTCAGATTATTAGATTTTTCCTTATGCACCTGCAGAGATGTTTAATTTGCCAAGCTCCAGGGGTTAGTAAACATTCCTTCTGTTTTAATCTCATCAACTCTCCAGCTTCAGTGTGTATGAAAATAAGGTGGTTTTCTTCTCTTATATTTATTTTCAGACATTAGCTGAATGAATTAGTGGACGTTCTAAATCCTGCTGGTCTGAACAGTGTCTCTGGGTATTAGTTCAGACCATGCCAAGGATATTAATTACATTAATGAGATTGCATCACAGGGTTTTTAAGAAAGATGCAATGAAACTTTTGAGGCATCCAAACCTAGAATAAATATTTTTGTATACCCGATGCACAAACCACATATTTAAAGGTGTAATGAAATAGTTATTCTGAAATGTGAAATACAGTATATTAATTGTCAGGAGCTAAAAAGAAGATAGGAAGGGTAATAGAGTCCATATGCTCCTGCAGGTGAAGGTTTTATTGAAACTGCTTTGAGAGCTAGTAGGAGTTGTTGAGAGCTAGTAGGACTATGTTGGCTTAAGTACTCAGCTTTTTGTGGTGTGGTATTAATGCTGAAGGTAGACTTCATTCTTTTGATATGTGTAATTTTTCACTTTTAAGTGTCATGTTTTGACAGATTGAGTCAGAAGTAATTTGTAAAGCAGAATACATGTTTCCATGTGTAAGTAAATTGGCATGATCTTTCTGATCTACATATTGGTGGTATGCTTCAGTTTGTTGTAAACGTTCCCTCATAATGGTGGTTAAATAGTTTATGAAAATACTGGAAAATGTGACTGAATTTAACCAGAAGCTGCATTCTTTATCAGTTATGTGGAAGCTGGGCATTTGTTCTCCAGTTTTAGAACCTAAAAAATCAGCAGCTTAAAAATCCTTTTGGACTTGGTATTCCTACTTGTAGGATTAGCTTGTGAGATGAGAATACACTTTCACCTTCTGCCCTCTGCTCTGCAGAAGGTTGAGGATAAAATGAAGACCTTACCCATTTCTAAGCACAAGAAAGTGCAGAAGCTAATACTAGTGAATAATGCTTTTTGTCTTTTTTCTTTCACAGCTGTTTTAGTGCAGGTTTTTTCTATTCAGAGAAAGGGCCCGTGTCCAACATATGTCAGTCCAGAATTACCGTCATTGCAGATCTTTTGATATGAATGGCTCTGTGCACAGCCTGAACTTCTAGATCTATGTTTTCTAGTCTCGTAAGGCTTTGTGCCAATATTCTGCCATTGTCAAATGGTACTGGATCATAAATTGGTATGTTGAACTTTAAAATACTAACAATTTCAGGAAAGGCAGTAATTAGAACTATGCTGTGGAAAAAAATTAAGAGGACACTGGGAAAAGTAGGACTTTACGCCTTAAGAATAAAAGGGATTAAATGATAAATTTGTAGCAATTAGTGGTAGAGAGAAAGTAGGAAATCCTGTGCCACTGTATTAACAGAAGAGAAAGGGAATGCTACATAAATTTGAAGGAACAAAGAACTGACGAGGAAACAACTTTTCCAACAGTGGACAACATTGAGCATAGAATGGGTCCGTTCTTGATCTCAGTAATACCCTGAAACAACCTAAACGTTAATTTTAAAAGAAAAAAGTGCACTTGTACTCTGAAATAATCTAAAGGTTATTTAAAAAAAAAAAAGTGTACTTGTGGCGCTCCCCAACTATCAGGATAACAGTGGCCAAGCCTGCTATGGCAAGCACTGTTGGAAAGAAGCAGCCCTCAGACTTTGTGATTTGAGTGAATCTTCAAAGTAATCATATTCTATTGAAGTGTGAAATGTGTTAATTTTGCAGAAGAGGTTGGAAAAGCAAGCCTGCGAAGTGTGCTTGAGAAAGGACTTCCAATGTCAATAAGGATGCTGTGAGAGTAAAAATCTGATAATCATCTTTGTTAGAAAAGAAAACAAATACATGATGTTTTGGTGAAATGTACTGGTCATTGTAGTTGTTTTTGAATATTAAAGTAAAAGGTTAAGTTGTAATAATATGCTGATGCAAGTTGCAGGAAGGTGATTTGCATAGCTAAAAAGATGCTTTAATTAGAATAGAGAAGAAATGCATGGAGAAATGTGTGGAATAGTTGAAGTAAAGCATTAAAGCCATATAATAGATGGTATAGTGGAATGGTCATCATGGTGTCTGTAAATAATGTAATGTGGCCAATATCCTATAGAGATAGAAAAGGCAAACAACTGCTTTCTTACAAAAGGTAGAATTAATAGTCATTGAAGAAAGCATAAATTTCCAGACAGAAATCAATAATGTGACTGGTCAGAAACTAGTACAGCAAAAGTAAGTACTATTTGTTGGGCCCTGCTTTTTAAGAGCATTTTAAGTGCTTTTTAAGACAATACAGCTGTTCCTTTCTGGTAGTGTTAAAGATCAGTCATTTGTAAGTCGCTATAAGCAGAGTCATGTGATAAATCTCATATGACTTTTTTCTGATATGTACCATGCAGTGGTCTGCAATAGGTAGTGGAGGGTATAAGCCCATATATACTGAACTAGTTTTCTTGCTAGTGTGAGTTTAGCAGTACACAGCATTGTGAGAAAATTGATGCCTTGCCCTAGATGTAAAACCAGGATGTGATTTAAGTGATGGAGAGTTTTTTCTCCTTTTATTTGTTTGACGACTTCAGATTTCTGTTTCCATAACCTGCTTTGGAGGCTTTGCCAGTCCTGTACCTTTCCATGTTTCTGTGAGCAATGGATCCAGTGTGTTTTTTCATATACTAGACTTAGCTTTATGGGAAGAAGCTAGTTAAATGCATTGAGAAAATTCTTTTAAAATTGAATATTAGAACTTAATCTGACAGTAATTGCAATTTTTTATGTTGCCACATTGCTGATTGGCAGCTTTTATCTTTATTACATTTTTAATCCTGTTAGATCTCATGCGGCGTCAAGAAGAATTGAGGCGTTTGGAAGAACTTCGAAATCAAGAACTTCAAAAACGCAAACAGATACAATTGAGGTATTTTGTCTTCTACTGTGCAAAGGTGTGGCATGCAGCTGCTATAGGCCTGCATGAATTTAGATGCTCTAGCTTGTAGAGCTTGCTTTTGATACCAAATAAAAATATTTCTGCTGCTAAAAAGTTGCTTTTCAAAAGCATAATGTGATGTTTCTGTTAATCTTCTTCAACAGAAAAGTGATCACTTACACCAATATAAAAGAATGGTTTCAAGTATTTCTTGAATTTTTTCATTTATTTCAGCTCTACTAGTTCTGTTGTAAATTTCTGAGCTTTCTAAATAGTGTAGAAATGTCTTAACGTGAATTTTTTTGTCTCATATAATTTATTTTAACCTCGTAACTGAAGCATAGCTGTAATAGAGCTGTAATAGATATGAACATGCTTCTAAGGTTTATGGGCGGGTGATCTGCCTGTGGAATAGTAGCACTGCAAATGTATAGTCCGACATGAGATTTTTGGGGGTATTTTCACTTGATATTCTCGTATGTTGCAAACAACTTTTCCTTTACAATCTGATTCATACAAATATTTGCTTTCATGCCTCTGCTAAAATTTAAGAGAACAGACATAGTATCATCACGTTGATTGAGTTTATACTTTTCATGTTAAATATCGTAAGAAATGTAGATGAGAAAAAAGAACAAAACACAAACACCTCGCAGAGTTAAAAATGTGTCTTTTGGCAGTATTGAAATGTTTTAAACCATAGTGACTTGTTAAAAAACTGGAGTATTTTAACCTGCTTACCAATATGTAGCCAGAAGAACAGGTATAGAATGTGCTGGTATTGTTATTACCTTGTATTCCAGTTTAAAAAAAAAAAAACAAAAACCAAAAACCAAAACCAAAAAAAACCCCTTCAATAATATTCAAACCCATCAGGTGAAGCACATTAGTGCCTTATGCTAAATAAAAAATTAAATAATGACCAGTTTTGTTTATATGCTTGATCTTATCTCCTGAGACTGAGTACAAGCCTGAACAGGTCAAGAGTCTAAGTTGACATAGTTTTTGAAAAATATTCTAGACATGAAGAAGAACATCGACGTCGTGAAGAAGAGATGCTACGTCAGAGGGAACAGGAGGAATTACGACGACAGCAGGAAGGAGGATTTAAGCCAAATTTCATGGACAATGTAAGTAAAATTCTATGATGAAAGTCCAAATCATAAAAGATTTTTTTTTTATTGTAATATTTTTATATACTAGCTATGGAGCTGCCACCTTCTTGTTTACTGTTTTTTCCTTCAGTATCCCATCGCCCTCATGAGTGGAGTGGTATAAATTTAGTAGTGTAGTTATTCTCTTGTACAATGGCATCACTGTTAGTTTTCCTACAAGCTGGTGATGTAACATTTCACTTAAGTGAAGGGGTTCAGATAATAATTTGCCTTTTTTATTTGGGAAATGAATTTTTCCAATAAAATAATAGAATTTTTCTAAGTTGGGAGGTCATGGGAGTAAATGATGTTTCCATAAGAAGGTGCCCTAGTTTGACTGAATGTTTAAATTTTAAACCATTTCAGGCTGTTAAGCTTGTTTGAATGGCTTGTTTTGGTTTATGCTTAACTTACTAAGAATAATATACTTCAGAAACAAAATGGGCAGTGTTAACTTCATATGGAGCTTAAAATCACTCTCCCCTTTGACCCTGCTGTAAACCTAGATGAAGAAAACTTCAAAATCTTTACTAAAGGAGACTGAAAGATTATAAAGGTGAAAAAAAAAAAAAATGTTCCTCTGCTATAATTTCTACGTTATTTAAATCAGTGATTTAGGTGTGTTCTGCCTCTGAAGACTCATCCTGCAGGACTAGCAAAATGGTGGTGTCAGAGGAGTCAGCTTCTAAATTTTCACGATTATCTATTTTTGTCGAGGGTATGAATTTTTTTCTGCCAACCAAAGCAGTTAAATGAACACAACCTGTATTGTGAATGCTTTAGTTTCGTGTGAGAAGGATACCTTTTACTGTTACAGCTATTCTTAGTGAGGAAGCAATGAATGAGCGATCCACACAATGCTCTCTTACATTATTATAATAATGTAAAGTCTGCAGGAGGGAATTTTGCTCCCCTTTACAGGTACAACTTGATGCATAAATAAAAAATAAACTGCTGGTTTCTCAGCTGCTTTCTGATTTTCTGCTTTGTGGAAGAAATACCTATTTTACATTCTATGCCATAACATTTTCTGTAGGGTTGAGAAAATTATATTATGTATGTTCTGAGACATCCTAAGAGAAGTTAGAAAATAAGAGATTCCCTGTTCTCAGCAGGACATCTTTTTTCCCGTCCTCTGTCCCTTAGTGGTTTTAGTAAAGATGGGAAGGAAGCAAAATTGTTCCTTTGATGTTACTAACAGCTATCAGTTCATTTTGCTGGTTGTGTTTTGAGAAACTTGCAGCAGAAAACAATCAATCATTTATTTCCGTATGTGCTCACACTGTAAAAGAAAACTGCTTTCAGCATGTCTTTTCTTCGGGGTGAAGAAGATCAAGAATTCAAAACTCAATGTCCTTCAGTGTATTCCCACATACTATTAAACATTGTGAAATAGCACATAACAATTGTATGATGTAATTTAGAAATAGCACTTACTGATCGTGACTTCTGTAGTGCCAAATACGAAATTTCATTTCACCTTTATATCTTCAAGTAGCATCTTTTGGGGTGGCCTGACTTTCTGACCCTATAAGCTACCTGTCAAAATCCTCCTGTGGTTGATCTGTGAGACCAATGCTACTCACTGCAGAATGCTGCAGGAAGGGGAGGCTGGGGAGCCAACCCACAGGCTTGAGATGGCAGTAGCTCCCTCAGATTCCATTGCTGTTAGGAGATTGTGGCCTATACCCTGCAGCTTGGGGTGCTGGGAAAACTAGATAACGTTGCCCACAGCAACCTCTGCTGGTTTTCTTCTTGCAACTGTCTTGAGAGAATGTTATTTAGCCTCCGTGCTTGAATTGCTTGCCACAGTTTGGCCATCCTCGTGCTTATCTGCATCTTTAAATTCCGATGTCTGTGTGACTAGAAGCTGTTCAAGTTGGTGTGCTGGACAAGGCAAAAATGTAGTGTAAGAAGGGAAGAGGAATGGTTCAAATGGAAAGCACTTCAATCACTACGCATAATTTTTGCGACTTTTATACGATGAAATTTTTGGGGGGAAAGGTAAAGATGGAAGAATGCTTTGGAAGAGTGTAGCTTTCCCACTGAATTGTGTTACTGGAATCATGTGTTCATCTGGAACTAATGAATACACCACAAGAATATATAGATGTAGCTGTGCAGTGACAATCCTACCAAAAGTGTTATATAAAGGAATATATAGTATAGGTGTTGTTTTTTTAATACCATGCGAAATTGAAGTGGCATATACAATAATCTAAAAAAATGTTCTCTAGTCTTCAGGCTATTCTTTAGTATTCTGGTCACGTGTTGACTTAATGTTTTACTTCTAATGGCCTTTGAACTTTAAAAGAGGAAGAATTGAAACAAAATTGGAAGTGATGTATTTACTTTCTTTAGGAACTGTTTCTAATAAGGGCAGCTATGTAATTCTAAGCATGGCCTATCATTTTATAGGCGTTCATTATGACATGTCTTTAGATAACTGTACTTAAGTTGTATGGTGTGAATGGGAGTTTGAAAAAGCCTTTGCATTTTGCAGCAGAGAAGAATCATAAATCTGGAGATTGAAAAATGATACATCAAATCTTTTTTCAATTTAGTAGAATTTCTTATACAACTAAATTTTTTTATTTATTGTTACTAATACTTGTTTACTGTGAACAGACTCCATCTGGTAATTACTTCTAGGCTCAGATTACTATTGTATATACACTGAAAAAAGTTATTCTCTGTTTCAAGAGCTTAAAAGTTGCCTCTTAGTGAAAATTGCATTTTATGATACTAGTGGTGGATAGTTTTTACCATATCAGGTCTTGATAAACTCTTTTGGCATAATCCTTATAAAATATTAAAGTCCTCTGCCAACCATGTATTTAGAAGGAAAATAATAATTGTTTCTAATCCTTGTTTTTGTTTCTTAAAAGCTTCGAAAAGTAAGCTTCTTTCACTTATATCCTATCCCTTTTTACTGTTCAGTATAAAAAGAAGGACGTAAATGGTAAGTGCAATGACAACCAGAATTGGAACCTCTCATATAAGGCTGCAGTATTAGGCTTTCTTGTTTAAAGTTTCTTTCTGTATCTTTTCCCTAAATTGTTAAACTTTGATTTTTCAGTATGACTACTTTTGAAAAATGTCTTGTAATCAAGTTTAATGCAGTTACCAGTTACTCGGTTTAGTTACAGATGATAAATATATTTTCTGTTTGGGAATTTCTCTTCCTGAAGCATTCGTGTTCTTAATGATGTTGCACATTAAAAATTTGATTGCATGGATTGTTAATTTAATGGGCAGCCTAGTGATACCTAAACAATTTATTAGTCTAGTTGTGTGATCTCTAGCAGATAAGTTATTGATAAACACTTTCGTATTGGTTAGGGTTTTTCCCTTGCTTTCTAAAAGTTGGTTAGTTGAAACCTGCTGTTACAGGTCAATATATATGCATACTAATTTTATGATATCTTAATCAGGAAACTTGTTTTCCTGTAATATTTTGCTAATTTTTGTTTTGCATACATATTTCTTGCTAAAAGAGGAGATTGCTGGTGGTGATTGGAAGCAATATTTTTCAGTAGCACAAATATTTTTAAAAAAAAAATACAGTACTTCTCAGCGCTAATAATACATTAATTATTCAAACTGTGCAGTGGTTACTATCCCGTTGTGAATGGCTTACTTAGATTTACATGGTTAAATCTCCATCAGGGCCTTTTTACCAAATAATTCCAGTTCCAGGAACTACGTTTATTCATGTCACCAATTTAAAAGAGTGAAAAGAGAGTGATTCGGCTTTAGTGTATTAAAATAGTTTTCGTGTGTCTACAAAAGAGACCAAAATATGTAGGAGTTGTAGTCTTATTTTTATGGTGCACAGATTTAGTTCTGTAATAACACTGCAAAATAGTGTCAGGTGGGTATTGTACTTAACGAGACAATAGCTGTGATACTGGCCTACAGCTTACAGCTTTTCTTACTGATGGTTTAAAAAGGGAGTTGAGATTTTTGGGTGTCCGTGTCCTCCTCCCTCCAAGGAAACTCCCGCTTTTTCAAGTGTAACTTGCATATGTAAGGAACTGTTTCTTGTGAGTTCATCAGTTTCAACTTCTGAATGCTTACTGTTCTTTCATGTAAGACTGTGTATTAAATACTTAACTTTTTTTATCTCCTAGTCTTTTTAAGAATTATTTCTAGATGTTGTTTTGCTTTCCTTTTATTTTTTTTACACAGATGCTCTGCTGCTCAAGTATGTTGTGTAAGTATCAGCATAAAGTGGCAGCTGCTAAAGCAGTGGAAATTGCCTCAATAGCAGAGATTGTAGTGGACTTGGATCAAAAGCTGTAAGACAGATGAGAGCAAGGGAGTAAAAAAACACATCCCAAAACAACAACAGAGTTCATAGCTTCAAAAAGGAATGCCAGAAACTTGATGAAAAAAATAGCGTTTAGTCTTTGTTCTAAGAGTTTTGTCCTTCTTTGGAGCGGTTATAAATGTAACTTCCCATTTCTTTATTATTTTGAGCCTACTGAGGTATATCTTATCCCTCACTTATACATTCACTTGCAAGTTAAGTAGTAGACATTTTTGAGAGAAGACTATCAGTTAGATTTCCTTGGACTTCTGTAATTCAGGAATAGTTTTTTTGCACCTCTTGGCTCTTAAGTGAATAGAACTGCTTTTTTTTTTTTCTGTCTTCTGATTCCATTATGCTCAAAAGCCCCAGTTATGTAGAAAGTTTTATTTTTCACTGAATGCATAATTGTTTCCTACCTTATTAAAAACTAAGCTAAGGCAGATTTCCAATAATAAATAAATTAATAAAAATTTCCAAGGATCTTTTCAAATTTGATCTGTTTTCCACTACTAATAAATATTTGTTATTTTATCTTGACAGCCTAGTGTACTTAATGAAGCTGATGGTGGTGAAGTTTTGTGGGGTTGTATGAATATAGTCTCTGTTTCTTAACAAACTGCTATAAAGCTAAGCTGCTTTATAAAAGCTCTTTTGTAGGGTT